ATCAAGCTGTAGTATATAGTGAACCTGAGAAAAAAGTCATGTCGCGATCCGGGGATGAGTGTGTTGTGGCTTTGACTGATCAATGGTATATCACTTATGGAGAATCAGAATGGAGGAAGGCTGCAGAGGAGTGTTTGGCCAGTATGAATCTCTACTCTGATGAGACACGACATGGCTTTGAGCACACTCTCAGCTGGCTTAATCAGTGGGCTTGTTCTCGCAGTTTTGGGCTTGGAACTCGTATTCCTTGGGATGAGGAATTCTTAGTCGAATCCTTATCCGATTCCACTATTTATATGGCATATTACACAGTGGCACACTTCTTGCAGAAAGGGGACATGTATGGTAATGATCATTCTTCAGTGAAACCAGAGCACTTGACAGATGATGTCTGGGAATTCTTGTTCTGTGATGGGCCTTTTCCTGAAAATTCTTCTATATCTTCTTCTCTTCTAAAGGAGATGAAGCAGGAATTTCTCTACTGGTATCCATTGGATCTCAGAGTTTCTGGCAAGGATCTTATTCAGAATCATCTTACCTTTTGCATCTATAACCACACTGCCCTCTTCCCTAAGCACCACTGGCCACGTGGTTTCAGATGCAATGGGCATATAATGCTTAACTCTGAGAAGATGTCCAAGTCCACTGGGAATTTCCGAACACTCCGGCAGGCAATTGAAGAGTTTTCAGCTGATGCCACACGCTTTTCTCTTGCTGATGCGGGTGATGGGATGGACGATGCTAACTTCGTCTTTGAAACAGCTAATGCTGCTATCTTACGTCTTACAAAAGAAATGGCATGGATGCAGGAAGTCCTTGATGCAGAGACATCTTTAAGAACTGGGCCTCCATCCACATATGCTGACCACGTATTTGCTAATGAAATAAATATTGCAGTAAGGACTACAGAGAAGAACTATAGTGAGTATATGTTCCGGGATGCTCTGAAAACTGGTTTTTATGATCTTCAGGCTGCCAGAGATGAGTATAGGCTTTCCTGTGGTTCAGGAGGCATGAACCGGGATTTGCTATGGCGATTTATGGATGTTCAAACACGACTTATTACTCCTATCTGTCCACACTATGCTGAATATGCCTGGAGAAAGCTTTTGAAGAAGGATGGTTATGGCATCAAAGCTGGGTGGCCAGAGGCTGATTTGCCGGATCTTAGCCTTAAGAAGGCCAACAAATATTTGCAAGACACGATTGTCTCGATGAGGAAGCTGCTTCAGAAGCAAGTTTCTGGTTCAAAGAAAGGAAATGCCAATTTGACTAGCCAAAACAAACCTTCTGAGGGCCTGATATATGTGGATGAGCAGTATAGTGGATGGAAAAAGGAATGTTTGGGAATCCTGCAGAGGAAATTCGACACTTCAACTGGCTCCTTTGCACCTGACAAAGAAATCCTCTCCGAATTGCAGAAGAGTGAGATCGGGCAACAAGGCAATTTCAAACAAATACAAAAGCTTTGTATGCCATTCTTGAGGTTCAAGAAAGACGAAGTAGTGGCTGTTGGGGTTCAAGCATTGGACTTGAAGCTTCCTTTTGGTGAGATTGAAGTCCTTGAGAAGAACTCGGAGTTGATCAAGAGACAGCTTGGTCTTGAGACATTGGAGATCTTATCTATGACAGATGATGCTCTAGAGAGAGCAGGGCCTCATGCTGCAGTTGTGAAGCAGAATCCTCCCTCACCAGGAAATCCAACTGCTATCTTTCTCTGAGTAAACCATTTTTGCCGCATAAGTTATGTGAACAGTTTCTTGTTTGAGACCTACATGATGTGACACTCTCTTTCTAGATCTTTTTTGTCCGTGCATTCTGCCTACGTTCTATTACTTGCTGAAGATCTAGGTCCAAATTAGTGGTTTATTTGCTTCAATCTTGATATGGAGCAACTGCAATTATATCTCCACATTAGTACTCGTTGAGTAGCAATTTGACAATTCGAGCATCTTTGAGTTTTTACCATTCTACAAGGTTTCCTAGTCGTATCTGCTTTTGATCATTTCTGCTTATAGCTTGATTGTCTTTTGATGCTGTATAAGCTGTTCATGTATGACTGTATTTTGTTGAGTAGTTTACGTAATTTCATATTCTGAGGACTTTATTTATTCGTGTCAAATTTGTAACTGCTAGTCCCATATCTTTCTTGCCAGAATCCCATGGAACCTTCTTTTAAATGGATCTGTTACATTCTATGTTACTCGGACACTCAAAAAATGTTGTTGCTCCGTGTCGGATCCTCTAAAAATGCACTACTTAGGAAGGATCCAACACTCGCCCATCAGCATTTTTGAAGAGTCTAAGCAACATAGGTTACGTTAAGTGAATTGAGTTAATATAAAGGTATATCATATATGGTGTTGGCTAAGCCCTATAGTCCCTTGGAATCCTTTTGAAAATTGTGATAAATTAGTTTCCATTCAGGTTTAAGGTGAATGTAGGATTCAAAACCAACAATATATATATATACATTATAAAAATATAAACGAAAATTTGCCAGAAAGGCAAGGCTGAGCTATAGTATATTATATAGCCCGTTTTAATTTCACATTGAGCAAATTTTAGAAACCTTCCTTCAAGATTCGCTTCGTAACACTAACTTCATTTCAAACTACATCTACCATAACGAAAACTAACTACAGTCTGGCCCATCAGTTTCTTGCATTGGTGTGCTCCTAGCTGTGCGAAATATAGTGACATCCATGAAGATCTGAGTGCCTTTAGTCACTTCAAAAACACAAATATCACCTAATTTAACTGATTGTCAAGCACAAATGCTCCCCAGCCAATGCCAATTTTAGCTTGTGTTGGTCCCTTGTAGTATGTGACAGGCCAAGAACCCCTGCCTGCAACACGAAGCATTATGTTGCTGCAGTTTTCCGGGATATATGTCCTAGCAAATCTCAATTTTATGCACTGCCAAAAGAGATGAACTCAATGTAATGTGTTCTAATAAAGATTACAGTACTGTAAACTACATAAAGTGACGGTTAATTTCTAGAGCTTACCAGATGATTGCTCGATCTGGAGATATACGAATGACGCATAAAAGATATAAAGAATGGATTTTTAGACTTGAAATTTGCTTTTGCTCTTTGACATGCTATAGCCTTCTCTTTATCCATTACTGTCCTGCGCACATCATAAATTACACTGGATTGTTGACTCTGCATCTTGCAGCCTTCACCATCGATTGCTTCACAACCATGTCTGAAAATTTTGCTGGACTGTCCTAATGGACAATGGCCTAGGTTTTCAACAGAATGCACAACCATGTCTGAAAATTTTGTGTTCCCTCTGTTGCTTGTTGGAGTACCATCTAGGATCTCTGTAGAATCATCATCCGACTCGGTGGACCGTGTACCATGAGCTTTCAAGAAAGTATTTGTTAACTAATTTAATTTTTTTTTCATAGCTTGTACACAAAATACGCAACCAAAGTGCATAGAGAGATGGGTGCTACACTTACCTGACGATTCTTTTGGCTCTGTTTTCACTTTCTTAGATTTTCTTGAAGCTTCAATGTTCTGTTCCTCATCGTCTTTCTCTTCAACATTTTCTACCTCATTCTCTGAACTGCTGAGTTCTTCATAATGTCGAATGTTGATACGAGGTTTCTTGGAGTAATGCAGGACATGGAAGGTTGATTTCTCAACAAGATAGAAGATCAACATGTCCCCTACCTCCAACTTGTTATACACCACAAACCATGGCCAGTCTCCTTCACCTATGAAATAATCAGATGCCTCCCTCACTATCTTAACTTCCCAAGACATCCCTTCATCCGTTCTAAGTAAGTCCGTCTTGGCCAACATCTTCTTATGTTCTTTGACAAAAGCAGCCGGCAGTCGCTAACAAATGTGGATCATCAAGTTTAGGAAAACTCACATTTTAGAAAGAAAATAAAGCAAAGAATATAGATAGACTTTTAAGAAAAAGAACTCACTATTTTATCGATAAAGCCTTGTTCAAGTAGATTGGAGAAAGATGGATGCTTGTTGTTGGGATCAACTGCCATTTCGCAAAATTGAAATGACAGTAAGAAGAAGAGAAAAACTGGTGCTGGTGAAGTTGTTGCTGTTAATAATGCAGCATTTCACATCACATACACAATGGTTGTGTGAGGGGTGGGTCCCGCCTATCAATTTGGTTCCGTTTTAAACAGCCCTAGCTATGAGTAGTTAATTAGACCCAAACAATAATCATTTATGAAAATTTTCCTTTCTATCCGTCCTAATTTACGTGACATTTTTTCATACATTATAAGAGAGATATCATATATAAGAAAAAGTGAGAAATGGCACTTGTCAGGAAAAAGAAAACAAAATTGTGAAAGAAAGTAACAGAGGACAGACAGCTCGGCAGTAGTAACAAACTGATAGGGTGGCCTCACACACTGTGTGTGAGTGTGCAACGTGAAATGGTGCAGTAACAAACTAACAATAGTGAGTCAACATATTAAGCATTTTTTTCTCTTCTCTTCTCCCCTGTTTCTTAGTTTCATTACAATTTTGCAAAATGGCAGTGGATTCCAACAACAAGCATCCATCTTTCTCCAATCTTCTTGAACAAGGCTTTATCGATATAATAGTAAGTTCTTTTTTTTAAGAGTTCCCATCTATACTATATTCTTGCTCTGTTTTCTTTGTAACTGAGTTTTTCTAAACTTGTTAGCGAATGCCGGCTGCTTTTGTCAAAGAACACAAGAAGATGTTGGCCAAGACAGCCTAACTGAAAACGGATGAAGGGCTATATTGGGAAGCCAAGATAGTGAAGGTGGCATCTGATTATTTCGTATGTGAAGGAGACTGGCCGCGGTTTGTGTTGCATCACAAGTTGAATGTAGGAGACATGTTGATCTTCTTTCTCCTAGACAAGTCCACCTTCCAAGTCCTTCGCTACTCAAAGAAACCTCTTGCCAACATTCAACATTTTGAGGAACTTAGCAGTTCGGAGGATGAGGTAGAAAACATTGAAACAAGATCAAAGAAAGTAAAAATGGAGGCAGTGCAGTTATCAGAAAAAAAGGGTTGATCCAGCAGGTAGCTGCAAAGATAGGGGAAATCCATGCTATTCAAATTTAGGTAACCTTGACCTCTTTCTAGTTTATACATTTGGTATATTTTTTTTCTTTTTCTGTTTACTATGTGAACAAACGATGCAGAGACTGATTAGGGTTAAGTTCTAATTTTTGCCATTTCTGAACCTACTTACAGACTGTATATATGAGATTGCCTTTGATTCTCTCCCTGAAGCCCTTTGTAGTAACTCAGCTAGGACTTACCTCTTTGTTTGTCTCTCTGGTTTCATCATGAAAGTAGGTAAATCTGATGCCAAAGCTCCTGAGACTAACAAAGTGAATGAAGTAAAAATGGAGCCAGTAATTCTATCAGATTCTGAAGAAGAGAGGGTGGATCCATCCCGTGGCTCCAAAGTTGGGGGAAATCCATGTTATTCACATCCAGGTAAGGTCCACCTCTTTATACATTTGGTATGAACTAGAATATATGGCAGACACAATGAAAACAACTGATGCATAATAGAGCATACTCATGACTACTTGGGGTTAAGTCCTAACTACTGTTGTTTCTTGTATCAAGTTTGCTATTTCGGAAACTTAAATCACTCTTTTAGCCTAGTTAAAGACTCGTATATCATTGTGACTCCTGACTATTAAGTATGAGATTCCCTTTGAGTCCCTCCCCTGCATAGTCTTCTTAACCCTTCGATTTCAGCCTGGACTGACCTCATCTAGCCACAATGTCTCTGTTTGTTTGTCTCACTCTGGTTCATCATGAAAGGAGGTAAATCCCATGCCAAAGATGATAGCATGCTTGGCCTGACGAAGAAAACTCCGGAGACTAAAGAAGCAAAGAGAGTCTTTATGGAGCTAATAGTATTATCAGACTCTGAGGAAGAAAACGCTCACCCACCCCGTGGCTCCAAAGATTGGGGAAATCCATGCTATTTACATCCAGGTAACATCGAGCCCTTTATACATTTGGTATATTTAATTGTTTTCAGTATAGGTACGGATGCACAAGATCGATGAGACACAATGAAACAGAAATGATGCATACTAAATAATCATACCAGCAAATTGGGTTAACTCCTAATTGCTCTTGTAGTTGTATCAAGTTTGCTAGTTCTGCACAAGCGTAGTTACAGACTCGTATATATCGTGACTATAAGTATGAGATTTTCTTTGAGTCCCTTCCCGAAGGCCTTCTTATCCCTTCCTTTTCAGGCCTTCACCAACCCACAATGAAATAGGAATATCTGTTTGTTTTCTCCCTCTTGTTCATTTTCTCAACACTGGAGGATTCATGATGATAGGAGGTAAATCCGATGCCAAAGCTGATAACATGCACGGCGTGAAGAAGAAAGTTGTCGAGACTAAAGAAGTGAAAAAGGCTGCCAAGGATCCTGACAAGCCTAAGAGCCCAGCAAGCGCTTTCTATGTTAAGCGAGGATGGAGGTCTGACAGGAATCCAAACAAACCCAAGAAGCCTGCAGGTGCTTTCTTCATTTTCATGGAGGACTTTAGGAAGCAGTTCAAGGAGGAGAGTCCAAATAATAAATCTAAGGTCCCTATCCATATAGCTGGTGGAGAGAAGTGGAAACAGTTGTCAGATGCTGAAAAAGCTCCTTATATGGCAGAGACAAGGAAATGGCTGGCTGATAACCATAAGAAGAAGGATGCTTATAAGAAGCGAGTAGCTGCTGAAGATTCTGATGAAGAGGAATCTTACAAGTCACTGTTCGAAGTTGATTAGTGTAATGACCCTAAAGGTCATTTTTGGAAATTTTCATAAAATGACCGTTTTACCCTCCCGATAGTTACCCCGAGTCCTAATTGTTGTATTTTCGAAGTTGGTTTGAAGGAAAATTGATGAAAAGTTGTGTTTTTGGAAAGTTGAGTTTTTAAGAGTTAAAGTTTGGTTAAAAGTGCTATTTCGAGTCATTTGGAGTTTCGAGACTCGAATCGGATTTCCGTCGATTCCAGCAGTTTTAGAATGTCGAAACGGGTCTATGAGAATTTACGGAGTCGAATTTGGAGTTAAAACGAAGATTTGAGGTCCTAAGTTGCAAAAATTGTGAAATTTTGATCAAGAGTTGACTTTGGTCAACAAACGAGGTTCCGGTGCTCGAAATGGAATTCCGAGGGCACCGTTGGATTCAGGGGGTGATTCTAAGTCTAGAATGAGTCTTGGTTGAATTTTAGAGGCCACGAGTGCGTTTTGAGTTTTTGAGCCTAAAGTTAGTTTCTTGACGCCTTATCGGATACCGGGTCAAGGAGACCTCGAATTCAAATTCCAACGATTTCATCGAGTCCGAAATGTCATTTTCAAGCTAGTAGCATATTTGGTTTGTGTTCGGGAAGTGCCAAATGAGTTTTGGGTGAGCTTTTAAGCTTCTTGGATGCTTTGACACTATTTCAGCAAATTATGGCAACTAAAGGGTTCATTATTAGTTTTAAAGGTCGAAAAATTATTCCGAAGGTTCTGAAATTTTGAGCATGAATTATAGGACTTATCTGCAAATTTTGGTGCATTTTCGCTAACCCGAGATTCTACTTTTATCGCAAATAAGAAATAATTATTTACCGAGTAGAAATGATATTTGACTGGGCAAACGAGCATGAAATTGAGCTCCGATTGAACAAGCAGGTCCGTATCATTATTTAAGACATTTACAAAAAAGAATCGGGTCATTTCACTATCGTATGAGGAAATTACAGCCTTTTTAGTGAAAGATTAACTGCTGTTTTTCTGGTGCATAACAGTCATGCACTGTTATAAAAATCTCAGACTGTGTTCATTTGGTATTTTGAGCATATCGGGAGTTCTAGAGATCGGAATGGAGTGATTCTTACGGGTTTCTTCTTGAATTAATATGAGGGTTAGTATTCAATCTTCAATTCGACATTTTCTCATAATTTCCTTATCTGGTTTTATTTTCCCTATCCGTAAACCTCTTGGGAAAAATTGGGGTTTTATCGATTTGGACTCCCTTTTTGATGAAAAAGGTATATTTACGATCCTTATGTTATGGGTAAACTGATTTTAACATAAAATTATTGATTCATCGATTATTTTCATCATATTAACCACGTACAATTTGGACTTTCCCGGTAAAGTTAAAGTTTGATAAATTGAGAATTTCAAGGTCGATCTTAACTCCGTTTTTGATGAAATTTCATATTTGAACTTATCTAAGCATGGGTAAGATGTTTTTCAAGAGATATTTCATTTTCGAGTCGGGGTTTCGGATCCGAATAATTTAGGCTTCTTCAAGAACGTGGATTTTCCTTCAAATTGAGTTTGTGAATTGATTTCAACTCCGTTTTCAAATTGGTTTTCACCATTAGCTTCCAAATACTTTAAGGATCATTTTACATAAAAAATTTCCAGATTTGGGTATCGTTTTCCGGTATGAGACATTTGGACCGTTTTGCCCTTTTTCCCTAAATTTCTTGATTTTGGTGTCATTGGACTCGAATTGTGATTGTGAATAATTGTTTGAATAGATTATCGTGATCCGGATTATACTCAGAAAGGAAAGG